TATTTTTTAATGATTTAGGTTTCATTGTAACTTCCTTATTCATAAATTAACAGTTATGTATATAATACTTAAAAATACTGAGTGTTTCAGAAGGGGAGCCTTCAACATATATATTTTAAAATGTTTTATAAGAGTTTTTTTTGCAAAACTCAAGTCAGATTGCGTTAAAAGAACTACATTTATGCAATAACTATTATTTAGGTAATGAAAAAAATATATAAAAAAAGTTATTCAACTCAGATTTTTTTTAAAGAAGGAGTTAATTTTATGATTGGAACATGATTTCTTTTACCTTTGTCTTGGTAAACGCAATCATGTTCCTACCTTTACCTGTAGCTTTTACCTTTGGCTTGGTTTACAATTGAAAAATAATGTAGAGCACACGGGAAATTGTATAGGTGTTATTGTTCGTAATAGTGTGGGCATTTTCAAAATAAATAACCTTACTTGGAACTGATTTCTAACTTCATTTTCAAATAAACTAATAAAAGAATGAAATGAGCACAATTTTAAATTATTTACTGGAAAAATCAAATTAAAAATGCTCATTAATTTGACAATTTTATTGCATGTTTCCAGTTCCTAAAATTAAATAATTCATGTAAGAGAAAAAAAAATCCTAGCTAACACTAGATTTGAACCTGATACCTTTGCAATGAAAGATATATAGATGAGCGTGGTATCAGACCGGGAACTTCTTGACTTTTTAGCAGACAAACTCTGAATTACATTTTACTAATCAAGAAGTACCTACCATATTGGCGTACTGTTGTTGATTAATTTATGACGCCTCTATAGATTAGTTTGTCTTACTATGCCAACTTTCTAATGTTCTCTTGTTTTTAAGCTACCTTTATTTATTGATCAATGGAGTTATAAAGATTATGTTTATTTTTAATCCAGCTTATTATATGTTTATTAAAGATTCATACCCTAACAAACAATAAGGACTCAACCCAATAGTAGCACTGTTTTGTTTCGTTTCGATTACCTCTGCTCTTTGGATAAGACCAAGTACCCCTTAATGTGTGTACATGCTGGGCCCACGAAACCTGCAGTTCAGCGGAGGAAGAAGATAACTGCATCGAAGGTGGAAAAAAGGTCTTACGGGACCCAGAACAAAATTTATTGCAGACATTATACTCAGAGAACAAAAAGCAATATTTTCATATTTTGCAAAATTTTTGAAAACTTTATGTAAAATTGTAGTTTTTATGTAGATATACATAAATTCCATGCAATTTTATTTCAAGAAACAAATCAATGACACTAAATTTTTTGTAAAGTATTTTGGTCGGGCTCTGAAGAGTCTCTGGCCCTAGGACAATTGTCCGTTTTTCTTTCCTCCTTGAGTACGGTCTTGACTACATCACATGTAAATTACATGCATAATTTTCTTAAAGTGTCATATAAAACAGAAACATATGCTATTTGTTTTCTCTAAAATTCAAGTATTTCTAAATTTCTCTTAGAGTTAGCATGTGTTCCCGGTCTAACTCCACTACTTGGTTAAGACTACGAAATTATGAAAAAATCATCCGTAAAAAATTTATAAAGGAATGACTTTTCAGTAATGATATACTGTACACATCTAAATAATGAATATCCCGATTAAATCTGAAGGCATTGGTTGATATCATAAGAATTTGCAAAAGAGAATTACTCATTGATTTTCATAATTTTTGTTTATGTGGAAAATATCCCCAAATTGGCGACTTCTAAAAAAGTTGAATTATTTTTGGTAATTTGTTTGTTCTAAAGCCCAAGTAACTTTTATGGGTAAGATAAAATAAATAGATAAAATTATATCTTTGCCTTGAGTTAAAAGTACTTAAACTGTTCTTTTTTTTAAAAATTTTCTTTGGCACAAAAGCTTCAAAAAAGTTCCTTCATTTATTTTTGGTTAATATTTGTTTGAGGAAAAGTAGTTATAATTAGAGTGGTTTAGATACATTTTCTTCAGTTTGCAACTATTATACTTTCTAGATATTACATTTCAATATTTCACGAATTCTGTATAATAGTTATTCTGTTTTATTTTCTAGGAATCCATTTGAAGATTGCTCAAAGGGAAAATTACCAAAAATGAATCTAAGTGCATGGAAAAATGAGCCGGTTTGGACGTAATGACTTTGCTGTTCAAATATATTTTTATTCAAACTTCTGTATGTAACATAAATAAACTAAGTATTTATAAGAAATATTTACCCATTCATCCATTATTTCCAATTATTTTGAATCTTAAGGTCTAATGTAAGTTCCATTTAAAGAATACATTACATTTCTTCGATGCTGGCTTATGCTTTCAAGGTATAATTTAACAATTTAGAAATCTCTAATATGGGGTACATTTTATCTTGAATTAATGCTTGTAGAATTGATGTCTTATCTAAAGTAATTAGGGAATTATATATTGTGTACAGTAGTTTAAATTGAAATGGAAGTTATAAAAATAATAAATACACAGATGACTTATAAGAAAATAATAACTACATAAGCAATTTGATATACTACAGTTCACAAATGGAAAAACGGACCACTATAATAACTTTTTATCTAATGACCAGTTTTCTCAGGTAATAAGATGCAGTCTTAAGTATTCAAGGAGTTAAGCAAATATTTTTAACTTTTTGATAGAAAAGGGTAACTTTCTTAAAGTTAGCGGGCAAGAATAACTTTGAACGTAAAAAATAAATAAATTTGTGTCCATAGTTTTTTGTTCATTTAAAAAACAAAAAAAATTGTTGAAATTTTTCGCTGTGCACACATACGCATTTAATTTTCATTATTCAAACAAATAAGATGCAATAAAAAAAACAATTAATCATTTATCTTCATTTTTCGAAAATAATAGTATGTTTAGTAAATAGTCAACTGTTCTGCAACGAATGATTTTGATCAGTAGAATATTTTTAATTTCTTAACAAGATTTAATTCTCAGCTAGCTGGCAATAATTCCAAGTTTTCTTTCAATAAAAACTTAACAATAATTTAAAAATAAATTTTGCTTTACAGGAAAACATAAATTAAAGTACTAAAACAATTGATTAGTATATTAATGGAAAAATAACATGCATGGTAGCATAAGGAATAAGATTTTGAGAAATGTTAAAATTTAATTAAAAAGTTAGAAAAATAATTCTACGAAACATGCGCAGACAGGTAATTAACAAATTTATTTTAAGTTTAAGACGATATATAAGATGTTGAGAAATTTTAAGATGCTTAAAAATGTTCACGACTCATTCGTATTAATAAATATAAACTATATAATGAAAAAATTGATAAACATATAATTGTAAATCTATTCATGAGTTGGTATATTGTTTAAATTGGATCAATTATTAAAAGAACAAACTAACAATTAAAATAAAAACGCTGACATATAATTGCATTCTATCAGAAACATGCTGTTAAAATACTCAACATTCCTTAATAAAATGCTTTTATTCCATAAAATGTTTTATTTAAATCTCTTTATTAAATTAAGAATAAATTTTTAGAAGACTAAAAAAACTTCGTATTTTATAAGTTAAAAAAGGATTAGCAATCGGTTATTAGCGAAAAATATATGAATGAAATTTTACTCTACGTGCGTTAATCAACGTCTTCGTAAACGACATTTAAAGATTAATCGTCCCATTTAAATATTTCTTGTTCGTCACAAAATTATTTTTTTAAAAATAATAATTAATTTTAGTTTTTCTCGGTTTCTGCCAAATAAAAACTGCTGAAAATTTAGATTTTGATATAGAAAAATACGTAGATTAATACGGTATAAATAATTTTTTACCACATAATTCAAAATGTTTTCATCCACAATGAAATTAAAAAATAATAAATAATTATTAAAAATTATTTTTTGCATGAAATTATCTTTGGGTAAAAGGATTTTTTAAGTGAGTGCAATTTTCTTTGATTTACTTAATTAGTTTTAAAAATATGACTAAAAACGCAAAAAGTTAACTTAACATTAAGGGGTCTGAGCTTTGGATCGCTCTCCTGGAGACCATATTTCCCAGATTGCGGCTACCCTCTGTATTTTGAAAGTTAAGAATCCAAATATGTTAAAAAAATATATTTTTATTCTGAGAAAGTACGTTTTTGTGTCTGATTTTGTAACTTAATTAATAGGTAGCACTAATTAATGAGCATATTTGAAGTTACCCCCAGGAACCATTAAGATTGACAAACAGTTCGTGAAAATCCAACCATTAGAACGAAAGTTAGTCATGGTGATATCTTTTTTTTGCAGACTGTACCGGCACGCAGAGTGCCGGTAATTGTCACCGCAATTCGATTCGAATTTTTTAAAGTGTATCTTTCTCTAGAATGCCATTCAACGTTTACAGTAAACAATAAATGTAGTTAAGGTTAGTATCAAAAGGTCTAGATAACAATTTTTTTCAACTCAAATGACTTGAAATGAAAATATAGATAAATCATTTTTCATTTATAGTATTTTTTCTGAATTATTCAAAAAATTTTTAAATTTTGAATTTTTAACTAATTATGCATTTTTTTGACTACATATATCAGTCAAACTTTAGTAGAAGATACTTTTTGATTAAATTTCCCTTAAGTAAAAGTGTTCCAATGGTGAATAATCAAAAATTTGATTTGGCTAATTAACTTTGGAGATATATTGACAAACTCTTACGATACAGCAAGCTAAGCTTATTGCAAACCGCCACTAAATATCGAACCCCAGCTCTTCGCAATGACAAACTAGTGCCTTAAATATTGAACCATCGCCACTCTTTATAATATTACTAAGTTATGGTTATGCCTACTTCAGAAATTGCAAGTCTAAGTTAATATTTAAACGTTCTCTGCTACTATTCAAAAAAGTTTGATTATCGAATTTTATACGTGTGTATTTGTGAAAAACGCGTATGGTTTGTCTATAGAAAGAACTTCCCTCGTCACAAAGTAACATACATTTTTAATTAAAATTAATTTAAATAATTCTTAATAATAAGAGTAATACAAAAATAACAAAACTTTAAACATGTTCCATTTATTGTACTTTGAGTTAATTTTACAGGCATACATTCAGTTTTAATAAATAAAGGAACAATTCGTAATCAAAGATGGTAAAATTCGGTAGTCATACAGTTAGTAATGTCATATATTTTAGGAGTCATACAGTTTTGTACTCACTAATTTAGAAGTCATAGGTTCAGAAAAGGGCAACTTTGAAAAGTTACTTATTCCATTCACTTTCAGGACGTGTCGTCTAATTCGGGAAATGTCACAGTCAGAAAAAGTCACAAAATCAGAAAAATTGTTCTTAAAAAATCACCCAATTATGCATTGTCCATTTAAAAATCACACAATTGTGCATAGTCTATTTTAAAAGTCACACAATTGGGCAATATAGTCCATTTTAAGAATATCACATTTGAGCAACGCAGTCTACATTCAGTACTTTTACAGTCACTACTTCATACTCCTATAGTCACATATTCGGAAACTTTTGTCTAGTTCAGGTAAGTCTTTATTCGGGTAATATCGAAGTTTTGAGTCACAGAGACGGGAGATGTCACAGTCGGGATATATCGTCTTAAATCGTGGTATGTTTAATTTTGGGTTCACGCAGTTTATTTCCGTGTGAAACACCCAGAAAACAGGCGTCTCACAGTGAAGCGGAAACCTTTCTTCTCTCTCTTTCTGGCCATTTCTCTTTTCTCGGCAAAATCTGGGTTTTGAGCCAATTTTTCCTCCAGATTTTTTGTCAAACGAGAAACATCGCCGCATCTGCAAGAATTAATCCATGTATTGCTAAGCAATATACTAAATGAAAGTTATTTACGCACTTAAATTATATAAGGTTTAAATTATATTATTAATTATTATTTACTAGTCATGCAAAGAACTTACTTGCAATAAAAAAATGTTTAAAAACGAATTTTTCTTCATACTTGTGTTAACTATTAAACTTGAAGAGGAGTTTGTAGAAAAACATTGCATCGTCTCTTGTTATAACGAATTTCACTGATTTATTACTTAAATAAAAAATGCGAATAATATAATTTTTTAGAATGCCAATACATCTTATCGTCTTATCTGTATATCATTAAAATATCTTATACTAATATATAT